ATGGGTTAATAAAATATTACATATATATATATAAAATTTTCGACTTCAAATTTTAGTATTTAACCGACGGAACTGACATTTGCAATAAATATGACAAAAATAAATTAAATACCTAATTTATCTCTCTATTAAAATATTAAAGAAGCTAAGATGGCCTTTCGTTTTAGTAAAGTTATTTAAACTTTAAATAATAATGATGGCATAGATGAAAGGAAAATAATTAAGAAATTATAATTGATATTGATGACCACAGATGATAGGATGGCCTCATAAGTAATTTTTCTGGTACTTATTAAGATATGTCACTTTAAATTAAAAATCTTTTAAAATTATTAAGAATGTTGTTAATCAGTTAGCCGAAATGAATACAAATAGTAATTGTATGTTTGACGATAGCAATTGTTTCATTTTCAAACTGTAGTAATTTAATCCTTTTTGTACATATATAATAACTGCACACTTACCATATTTAATTAAAATTATTCTCATTTTTTTCAATTTAATTTTAAATCAAGAAGTGAAATTCAGCAAATGAAATGATAAAAGTAGCATATAATTAACAGATGAGGTAATTAATAATAAATAATCAGTAAATGAAATAATCAACCATATCATGACATTTTGAATGACATCTTGAAATATTTGTTTATTCCTCATACAAATTACAGTAACCCTCTGTTCCATTTCGTGATAAATTTTGTAAAGGGGTGAAAATTATTCAATTGATCATTTGATTCCCAATGTAAACAGGTGGCACATCGTAGCAAGCAATAATAATATCATTAATCTAATAATATAGTTCATATTCATTTCTCTCAATTGCCTATTTTAATTCTTCTAACGAAAAAAAAAAAAAAAAAAAAAAACGAAGACATGAAAAATATTAAAATTATTGCACCAATTAATCAACGATAAATTAATTATCGCAAATAAACAATTTTTGCCAAAACAGTCGCTTATTCCTTATTCTTTTTCCTTCTTTTTTCTTCGCCCAGTAAAATTATATTAATAAAAAAACTTACCAAGAAAAAAAAATATAAATAAAATTGTGCAAAATTTTCAAATGTTTCATAAATTTAAAAAAAGATTGTCTTTTACTATTTTCATCTTTTTTCCTCTCTCTCTCTCTCTCTCTCTCTCTCTCTCTCTCTTGCCTTGCTTTATACACTGTTTGAAATAAAGGAAAATACCAGAAGGAAAAAGCATAAAGTATTTAAATAAATGGAAAAGAAATTCAACAAATAATATAACTATACAATGAACCAGTCTTTAAAATGTTTAATGTTAGCAATCAATTATTTACCTATCTGCAGTGCATTATAAAAATAATTGAAATTTCAGTTAAAATCGAATTGAAAATGAGGAAGAAAAAGTAGTTGAAAAGGTTTGTTAAAATTTAAAAGAAAAAAGCAAGAGAAAAAATATTTGCTATAATTTAAAAAAAGAAAAAAAAAATAATGTATTATCTGTTATTACAAGTAAGTTACTGAAAGATCTGTCTGTTCAATTTTAGATTACAATAATTTACAATCGGTAATAATTTCCCAATTTTAATCTCTCCATTTCGGTATTTCAAAATGTTATCAATAATGGAAAGCTTTTTGCTTACTTATCCTTTTTTTTAGGATATAAAAAAATAAAGAAAGAAATTTCAATTGATAAAAAATTTTTATACGAAATATGAAATAATTTAGATCCATTAATTCTAAAAAAAAATCAGCACATTTTTCTCATTTTGTTTATTATTTAAAATTTCTTCCTTTCCTTCCTTCTTTTTTGATTGCTCTTATAATAAATTTGATTTTTGAATTACTTGAAAAGCATCAGCGATATTCAACAAATATTCTGCATTTATTGAATTAATTTTAACTGAATTACAACAATATTCCATAGCTATTTTAAATTATTTGATAATTCATTCATGCATACACATGAAAAAAGAAACTGATGAATCAATTTTGCTTGTGAAAAATACTTTTAATTTCTTTTATTTTTTCCAAAGTATGATTTTGTTCCTGTTAAATGTTAAATCGAAATTATTAAATTATATGCTAAAGTGAGTATTTTATTTTGCTCTGAAATTATTTCAATAATGATCAAGAAAAAAGTTAGATTTTTTTATAGATCTAAAATAAATTGTCTCTTTTTCCACTTTGAAATGAAATGGATTCATAAGTAAATTGAAGGTAATAATAAGAATCGATGAAGTTTTATAATAATAAATAAATGATAAACAAACGCTTTGAGAGCATCTTTTTTTAAACGAAGCAGAAAAAAATATTGAATTTGCTTTTTAATAATAGCCACAGAAATCTTGTTTCTGAGATAGAATTACAGTTTTAGAGAAGTTGCATTCTTACAAAAGAATCATTCACCAATTAACATAAATTTAACAATAGAAATAAAAAAAAACTTTAAAACAATTAAAATGATTTTGTCTTTTCAATCAAAGAATCACAGCAACATATGAGCAAAAGTAATTTTAATATAAATATTTTTTTGATGAAAAAAGTTTTTTTTTGTTCTCTATTTAAATATGATAGAACATTACTATATATTTTTATTTTTTTTTAATATTTTATTTTAATATTTTTTATTTTTAATGTTTTTTTGCCACTTTTTTATGCTAAAAAATTAAAATACTTTAATTTTAACTTTTTAAGTGTTTGAGTAAAACTGAATTATAATCTGGGTATAACTGAATTGTAATCTGTATATAATCTGAGTATAACTGAATTTCGGGGGTTTGCAATCTTCTTCATGTATTCTGTTAGGGATATTTGACAATTAAGGCAAAAAAGAAAGTTTATAAAATTCACTTTAAAGTTTTCTTTCAATGTACAAATTTAATGGAAATTGCTTTTAGGCCAATTTTAATTTATTTTTAATATTGAAATTAATTTTAATTGCAGATTTAAATTCGACAGTTTCCAAGAGCTTTTCTGTCAATTTAATGCTGAAACAATTTTTAAAATGCTAAATTGTGTTTTAATTAAATGCCAACAATGTTATGAAAATTTAATTCATTGAAAAATAAATATATTTTGGACTTAATTGATTATTTTTATTTGCATTCCCCTTGATCTTCACACATTCTCTTGGGGATATTTGAAATTTATGGAGAAAAGAAACTTTACAAAATTTAGTGATTTTAATTTATTTTTGACTTTGAAAATAATTGCAGATTTAAATATGGATCAATAGAAAAGTTCACTTTTGAACTTTATTGGCTATATTATTTGCATTCTCCTGATCTTCATATGTTCTGTTTGGGATATTTGACCATTTATGCAAATAAGAAACTTTATAAAATTCACTTTAAGATATTCTTTTAATGTACAAATTTAATGAAATTTGCCTTTAGTGCTGATTTTAATTTATTTCTGACATGAAATTAATTTTAATTGCAGATTTAAATTCGACAGTTTGCAAGAGTTTATGTTAATTTATTGCTGAAAAAATTTTTAAATCTGCTAAATTCTGTTTCAGCTAAGTGCCAACAATGTTATAAAAATTTAATTCATTTAAAAATAAAATATATTTTGGACTTATCTGATCATTTTATTTACACTGCTCTTGATCTGCACACATTCTGTTTGGGGTATTTGACATATAATTGCAGAAAAGGAAATTTATAGAATTTTCTGAAGTAATCTTTCAATGTACAAATTTAATGAAATTTGCAGTTAGTGATGATTTTAATTTATTTTTGGTATTGAAATTAATTTTAATTGCAGATCTTAAAAATGAGTTATTTGGAAAGTTCGGGAGTTTCCGAGAGTTTTTTTAACTTAATGCTTGATTTTAATTGTACATTTAAATATGGATCATTAAGAAAGTTCGACAGTTTCCAAGAGTTTCGTATTGATCAGTATATATTCTGGTGGATATTTGAGAATTTAAGCAAAAAAGAAAGTTTATAAAATCCACTTTAGAGTAATATTTCAATGTTGAAGTAAAAAAAAATTTGCAATTATTAGTGATTAAAAATTTTTTTTGGCATTAAAAATAATTTTAATTACAAATTTAAAAATGGATTATTAGGAAAGTTCCAAGATTTTGTTGATTTAATGTTGAAAACATTTTTAAATATGCTCGATTCTACTTTAATTAAATGCCAAAAACGTCAGAAGAAATGTAATTAAATTAAAAATAAATATATTTTATTTCCATTCTCCTGATCTTCATATATAGTAAGGGTGAATTATTAGTAGTTCAGTTATTAGCTAAATGTTGTGATGTTTATAAGTGTGCAATTATATCAGTCACTATGAAATAATAATTAGGATTGGGGATTTATCGAACTAGCCAAGACTTTCATTAGCTAACTGAATGCTTTAATTATTTAATTTCTAACTTTCTTGAGTGAATGAATTGCTCTTACTTATCACTGTCTGTTAAGTATAATGTTTCTTACATTTAACTTCTTTATTAGTCATTCTAGTTATTCAAATGTATTTTTTTAATGATGAACACCGATGTGTGTGCCAGCTCGCTCGTTAAACCTTCTGCTCATGGCCGCCTGTACGGTACGGTCTCTTCAGATGTGTGTATCCACCCGCTCGCTCGTTAACTCTTTTCCTCATTTCTGCCCTAACCTCACTGAGGCGAGCACAGTGACTACGGTACGGTCTCTTCAGATGTATGTGCCCACCCTCTACGTATGCCTACCCCACCCCCTCATTTCTGCCCTAACCTCATCACTGAAGGCGAACAAAGTGTCTGCCCACCCTCTACGTATGCCTACCCCACCCCCGTCGGTGTATTTACGATATAAAGAAGCCCTAGGAGAAAAAATTAGCATTGAAAAAGGCTTATACCCTGGTGAATATTTAAAGCCAATAGGAGAGGAGCTAGCCAAAAAATACGGCAGAGAGCTTCGAAGATTTGATTGATAACATAAAGCACGCAACTTCAGCTCAGCTAACTTTGCTAAAGATGGAAGCTATAGATCTGAGTGGTAAAAAATATCACCATGTAGCGGTAAACGAAGTGTATGTCTCACTGAACCACCTAACGTTTTGTACCCAGAGTCCTATGCTGACTGTATAAAAAGCGAACTTACTAAATTTGGTCTTGAAATTGAAGTGCTTGATAAAAAGCAGATGGAAAAGAAGAAAATGGGAGCTTTGCTTGGAGTAGCACAAGGAAGTAGTAAAGAGCCTAAGTTGGTAGTAATAAGGTGGAATGGAGCTTCTAAAGAACAAAAACCGATAGCTTTTGTGGGTAAAGGTATAACATTTGATACTGGTGGAGTATCGCTTAACTTGGCTTTAGCGATAGGAAAAGATATTGAGTATTGTGCAGTGTCAGTTCACTCTTCAGTGTCATTCCAGCACGTGACACTGGAATCTAGAGAAAAAGAAACCTGGATCCCACTGTCAAGAACTGGGATGACAGAGTGATGTCAATTTCTTATGTGACCAGGAGTGATTGCCTAGCTCATGACCAGCATTATAGATTTTCTTTACTATCTCAGATGTTTTTTTATTTATGCGTTCACCAAGAAGAAAAAATGTTGCTTTTGCTTTATAGTGAGGTTTATACTCCATATCGCCAGCAATTTTCAACGATAAAATAATAGCACCATTTTCAAACGGTGAACTAATAGCCTTTAATGAAGATGGTAAAAAATTGTGGAGCCAAAAATTGTTCACAAACCTTTTTGATACACCGCTCACAGATATAACTACCACACCAAGAGTATGTGACAACATTTTAATAGCCAAAAATAACTCTTACATTTATAGTATTGACGTAAAATCAGGAAATATTTTATGGTCCAAGCCACTAAAGGTAAAAAGTGTATCAGACATTGAGTCATATTATAGTCCACTTATCCCTGTAAAGGAACAAAAAACAGGTGGTAGAATTTTTATAGTGACTAAAGACAACAAAGTAATTGGCATCGATATACAAAGCGGAGAAGTAGTCTGGAAGAAAATGCAAGCATAAATTACTTTTATTTACGAGTTAATTATCAGAATGGAAGACGTGATCTTACACTTTCTTTTCTCTATGTGATATGGTTAACCCTATAGAACTTTCTGGCCTTATTTTAAATCCCTTATTATTGTTCTTAGGTGCACTGCGTTTTCATGTAGGTAGAATAGTGATTGGATAATAAAACTATTGTTAAAACTGCAATAATTAAGAAGAAGAATGTCCGATAACGCCTTTATTGAAGTTGGTACAGATATATTTCTTGTATCTGTTTTTATCACTATTTCTTTAACAAATTGTCACATGCTCTATGCTAAATTTTAGTTAACGTGCATATTGGAGGTATTAAAAAAGTTGTTTTTGACCATGTTTTTTTCAGTTTTAGGAGTAATTGCAAGTTCAATGGAAAATGTTGCTGTTGAAATTCGTCACTTACAAAGAACTGAGATTGCGGAAATTGCCGAATATTTTTCTACTGGACAGAAAGGAAGCTCTGCCATGCCGCTCAGGTATCAAAGTTTGCCGATGGTGCGATAAATGCGGAAGTGGAAAGTAACCTCTGCAGTCAAGAGGTATATATAATACAGTCCATTTGCTTCACAAATTGGTTCAGGGTTAACAGGTGTTCTATATGTGCTTGATGAACCATCAATAGGCCTTCATCAATGTGATAATGATCGATTAATTGCCACACTTAAAAACCTGAGAGATATGGGAAACACCGTAATCGTTGTTGAGCATGATGAAGATACAATAATGAACAAGTATTTCATGAATTTTATCAACATCAAGTGGTTTGTTTTCAACAACAAATGTTGGCATTGATATAAATACGTAATTATTTAGTAAGTTAAATGTTTGTATTATGATGATACGCTGTGAGAAAATTAAACCTTTTGAAGAATTTAAGTTCTTTTCAATGTTTTCTTTATTAATTGCTAATTTATCTATCAAATCCGTTTCAATTTAGTGCTTACTGTTCTTTCTGTTCCTTGACAGATGTTTTTATCTTTGCTGATTAATGTGAATTCAATATCCTCCTTTGCACAGAAAAATTAGTGTCGGCTTCAACTTTCTTCTGCGCTTTCTCCAGTGCTTTATTGATCCATGGGTGATAACATTATCCGCCACTTGTCTGTGCATCGTACGATAAGAAATTTACGCTAATTAAGCATTGGTTCTAAGAAATGCAAAGAATGATAAAACAATACCACAAAAAGCACGGGATAAAGCTAAAGAATTAAAAGAAAAGTAGAGATAATAGAAATAGCCAAGAATCTGTTCAAAGCAGGAATTTCTATTAACATTATCTAGAGAACAATATTAAAGCTAAAACCAAAACAGCAGTCGGAATCACTAGAAAGACCACGCCAATATATTATGTAAACGACAAACCGCACATTGGTCACGCATATACCTCCCTCATCTGTGATGTTACAGCTAGGTGGCGTATTTTATAATCTTAACGGTGTTTGTTGTACTAACCAACAAAAGGATTTGGAGCAAGCTCTATAAAAAGAGAAAATAGAGTTTTTTTGTATCCATTGACACTCACTTTCATACCTTATTTACTCTATAAATATATGATAATATAGGAATTATGAAATTTCAACTAGTTACGCATTTTCAACCAGCTGGAGATCAACCGCAGGGCAACGCTTGAGCTAGCACTTTCGCATTCTCCACAACTCTTTTGATATAGGCTTTTAACTCTGGCGCCAATGCCTCTTTAAATGCAACAGCTTTTGCAGCTATCACATGCATAAGCGGCACTTAGCATTATTGATCAGCTCTTTCACTGCCTAGAAGCTTAACCCCTCCTTCAATTTGTACTTGCCTAAAAAACTCTATCCAGTGAACACCTTTCTTGTCTTTAATCACCATAGCTGGTGATTAACAAAGTCATTCCAACGTCACCTGGTTATGTCCATTCTCAATTAAAAAAATAATGACAAGTTTTAGACTAGGTGTATCTGCTACGCTAAAATATATATTATTAATAACTTCATGCTATAATAATTATTTTAATATAGGCAACACAGAAAACAGCAAGGATAGTGACAAAGTTATCAATGAATCTCTTGCTTTGCACAATATACAACAGCAAATAAGTCGGAGCTTTTGCTCTGAGCCATGGAGGCTTGCTATGCATCTGAGATGCCTAATTCTACCTCTTGTTTTGCTAAAACTTTCTTCAGCATTTTTATCATCTTTGTCTAATGAGTTAACATCAGCCCCTGCTTTTTGCCGATATTAAAATTGACTCACTAGAGCCAATACATTTGCTGATATGAAGAATAAGCCTGTACAGCAAAATATATAGCTGCAATGAATAGAGCTTCTTTTGCATAACTTACAACAAACTCAACTTCCTCCTGAGATTCTGGACGCAATCCGTGATTTACTGCTAATGCTATAGGGTAATAAATTCTATTTACTTGATGTATAACGTGCAAAATTTGAATATCCAAAACTTAGTTCTCCAGCCCCATGCGTTAAAATCAGTGATTTTTTTGCATATGATCACTATCATTACAAAAAGCAGGACACCCTTTATTTTTAAATGCTGATCCACACAACACAGGAATGCTTTGACGGTTGCTGATTCTATTATTGTTCCTCAATTGGGGAAAGCCTTATGTTTTTATCACTTCCTGCAGTGAAAAGTGGAAAATAGTAAAACAGCAGAAGAGATAGAGGGGCGATGGTTGTGTAAGTTTTCGTCGAGAAAAATTTGTTGAATTTGGTGGTCCAAATGGTGGTAATGGAGGAAAGGGACTTAGCTTATTCTGAGCAAAGCGTGCATAGCAAAGAGTTTGATAGAAAATTTTGGCAGTTTAAAAAGGATCTGCCTATAATCCATAAATTCTCATTCTAATATTCACATATAAAACACAGATATAAGCTTAATCTACTGTGAATGTTTTGATTTTTTCTTTTTGAGTCTTTATCTTGAAAATAACGGCTAGCAGAACCTAGTTAATTTTTTTGTTAAGGATTAAAAATGATAAGTAAAGAAGATCTACTGGAGTTGATGAAAATAAGGCAAGTAGTTTTTTAGTTCTGCTTTCCCTGTTTTTAAATTACGATGTTTATAAAATTGTAAGCCAAGGCCAGCTCAGGTATCAAAGTTTGCCGATGGTGCGATAAATGCGGAAGTGGCTTTGAGCGAAACGCTTAGAAAGCGTGCCACAAGCTGGTTTGATCAGACTTTAGTAACTAGGACCTGGACGATCCCATTTTCTCTTTTCGATTTTTGGATCTGTAGGTGACATTCTGCTAACGAACAACCATACTGAACGGCAAACACTGGGATCGAACCGCTGACCTTCTGCGTGCAAAACAGATGTTCTACCAGCTGAGCTATACCCCCCACTTAAAGAATAAACTAACCAGAGCTAAAGCACAAGAAGTATTCGTTGTGATGCAGATAAGCTAACACTTTTCCATCTTTTAACACTACAGGTAAAGAATAAAAAACTTCAGGGGAGTGATAACTGAAGTTGAAGCATATATAGGAATGGATGACCCAGCTTGTCATGCAGGCGATTTTTGGCTTATCGTCAATCCAAACTGGTACCTTTGTATCTGCATTTGAACAGCGAGTTAAAAACTTCGATTTACCTGCATTTGGCATACCACACATTCAATATTCACGAATTTACTTTAGAATTAGAAGTTTTAGGTTTATTCATATGTTACTTATTACTGCTTTAATTTGCTGATACTGTCTCTCAAACCGTTGGGCTGAATGGACGGATGTGAATATAATGATTATTAATATATAAAAGTCATAGCGAACAGACTTGAAGCGGGCCCTAACCTCATCACTGAAAGCGAACAAAGTGTCTGCCCACCCGTTCGCTCCTCACACGCACACACCCCAACACTGAACCCCCAATTCACCCAGTCGATTATCACTGTACTCTCCTAGGCCTATACAGTCTTTTCTAAAAAACACAGGACTTCCTTTGTCCTTGTGCGCACATATATATAGCCACATCCTCGTCATCAGGTCATTCGTGGAGCAATCGGGTCTGTCGAGCGTTCAGATATTTGTTTTAGTACTTTCCCATAATTCTTTTCATATTGCGTTTTAGGGGAAAGTTTTTTTCTCTTTTTTAAGTTATACTTTTTCTTTTGGTTAAATTGTTATTATATTTTTAAGTCATCTTTTTCAAGTAAATTACTCTTAAAGCGTAAGGTCATCGAAGTTGGATTTGGTTGAGAAATGGATGAATGTAGATGTACTAAAATTTGAATTTCGTTATATCTTGATTCGGCTTCACTTTTTTTCTAATTTTTCATTAGCTAATTGAATGTTTCTTGGGACGGTTTTTGGCCAATTTCTATTTTTGTTATATTGTTACAGCTTATCGTTGTCGTGAAGAAAATCATTTATTGAAGAATTCGTTGCGATAACCTAGTAACTTATTTAGTGTTGTTGGCAATGTTGGCGAACTGTTATTGGCAATTAGATCATCAAGGAAGATCTCGAAAAGAAGGAGGTTAGTCCATTTTTCATCTTTATGTTTAGCCTTTTTCCTTAGCTTTTTATTTTATGGTTTTCTGTACTTTTTTTATTATCTTTAGCTTGCATTTATGAATGAAATGTGTTATCATTCCGCCTGTGTATGGTATTGTTCTTTGGACAGACGGGGTTAATTAGTATTGATGACGGATGAGCTTAATTAGCGTTGATAACGGATGAGCTTGATTAGCAGCTTTTCTTTTTAAGTAGTTTTACTTATACATGTATGTGTATTTTGTAGTGATGAAGGGGATGTGTGTGCCCAGCCACTCTGTGCGCCCACCGGCCCGCTTTTGCCCTTTTCGGTATACCCTCATTGAGGGCGAACGGAAGTGCCTGTACAGTACGGTTTCTTTTGATGTCACAACCCCAACTCACCCAATCGATTGGTTCTATACTCCCTTAGGGTCTATACAGTCCTTTTAAAAATGACCCGCGCCCTCCTGTACATTTCCCTCTTAACCTTATTGGGACAAAGGACTTCTTTGTCCATGTGTGCACACAGACAAAGGCGCAGACGGGGTGGCACACATATCGCCACATCCTCATCATTTAGTCATTCGTGAGCAGTCGGACCTGTCGAGCGGTTGGAGATTTTATTACTTCCTAGTACCTTCATTTAAGTGGGTTTGTAGGAGCAAAGTTTATTTTTTTTAAATTATCAATTATTAAACTTGCACTGTATTATTTGCAGGAAACCTAATGGAAGGAACGAAGAACATGGAACTTCCATTTGGTTTCAACTGCGTAAAGGTATAGGCTTAGGCTTAGGCTTAGGCTTAGGCTTAGGCTTAGGCTTAGGCTTAGGCTTAGGCTTAGGCTTAGGCTTAGGCTTAGGCTTAGGCTTAGGCTTAGGCTTAGGCTTAGGCTTAGCTTAGGCTTAGGCTTAGGCTTTTAGGCTTAGGCTTAGGCTTAGGCTTAGGCTTACTTAGGCTTAGGCTTAGGCTTAGGCTTAGGCTTAGGCTTAGGCTTAGGCTTAGTGCTTAGGCTTAGGCTTAGGCTTAGGCTTAGGCTTAGGCTTAGGCTTAGGCATTAGGCTTAGGTAGGCTTAGGCTTAGGCTTAGGCTTAGGCTTAGGCTTAGGCTTAGGCTTAGGCTTAGGCTTAGCTTAGGCTTAGGCTTAGGCTTAGAGCTTAGGCTTAGGCTTAGGCTTAGGCTTAGGCTTAGGCTTAGGCTTAGGCTTAGGCTTAGGCTTAGGCTTAGGCTTAGGCTTAGGCTTAGGCTTAGGCTTAGGCTTAGGCTTAGCTTAGGCTTAGGCTTAGGCTTAGGCTTAGGCTTAGGCTTAGGCTTACAGGCTTAGGCTTAGGCTTAGCTTAGGCTTAGGCTTAGGCTTAGGCTTAGGCTTAGGCTTAGGCTTAGGCTTAGGCTTAGGCTTAGCTTAGGCTTAGGCTTAGGCTTAGGCTTAGGCTTAGGCTTAGGCTTAGGCTTAGGCTTAGGCTTAGGCTTAGCTTAGCTTAGGCTTAGGCTTAGGCTTAGGCTTAGGCTTAGGCTTAGGCTTAGGCTTAGGCTTAGGCTTAGGCTTAGGCTTAGGCTTAGGCTTAGCTTAGGCTTAGGCTTAGGCTTAGGCTTAGGCTTAGGCTTAGGCTTAGGCTTAGGCTTAGGCTTAGGCTTAGGCTTAGGCTTAGGCTTAGGTAGGCTTAGGCTTAGGCTTAGGCTTAGGCTTAGGCTTAGGGTTTAGGCTAGGCTTAGGCTTAGGCTTAGGCTTAGGCTTAGGCTTAGGCTTAGGCTAGGCTTAGGCTTAGGCTTAGGCTTAGGCTTAGGCTTAGGCTTAGGCTTAGGCTTAGGCCTTAGGCTTAGGCTTAGGCTTAGGCTTAGGCTTAGGCTTAGGCTTAGGCTTAGGCTTAGGCTTAGGCTTAGGCTTAGGCTTAGGCTTAGGCTTAGGCTTAGGCTTAGGCTTAGGCTTAGGCTTAGGCTTAGGCTTAGGCTTAGGCTTAGGCTTAGGCTTAGGCTTAGGCTTAGGCTTAGGCTTAGGCTTAGGCTTAGGCTTAGGCTTAGGCTTAGGCTTAGGCTTAGGCTTAGGCTTAGGCTTAGGCTTAGGCTTAGGCTTAGGCTTAGGCTTAGGCTTAGGCTTAGCTTAGGCTTAGGCTTAGGCTTAGGCTTAGGCTTAGGCTTAGGCTTAGGCTTAGGCTTAGGCTTAGGCTTAGGCTTAGGCTTAGGCTTAGGCTTAGGCTTAGGCTTAGGCTTAGGCTTAGGCTTAGGCTTAGGCTTAGGCTTAGGCTTAGGCTTAGGCTTAGGCTTAGGCTTAGGCTTAGGCTTAGGCTTAGGCTTAGGCTTAGGCTTAGGCTTAGGCTTAGGCTTAGGCTTAGGCTTAGGCTTAGGCTTAGGCTTAGGCTTAGGCTTAGGCTTAGGCTTAGGCTTAGGCTTAGGCTTAGGCTTAGGCTTAGGCTTAGGCTTAGGCTTAGGCTTAGGCTTAGGCTTAGGCTTAGCTTAGGCTTAGGCTTAGGCTTAGGCTTAGGCTTAGGCTTAGGCTTAGGCTTAGGCTTAGGCTTAGGCTTAGGCTTAGGCTTAGGCTTAGGCTTAGGCTTAGGCTTAGGCTTAGGCTTAGGCTTAGGCTTAGGCTTAGGCTTAGGCTTAGGCTTAGGCTTAGGCTTAGGCTTAGGCTTAGGCTTAGGCTTAGGCTTAGGCTTAGGCTTAGGCTTAGGCTTAGGCTTAGGCTTAGGCTTAGGCTTAGGCTTAGGCTTAGGCTTAGGCTTAGGCTTAGGCTTAGGCTTAGGCTTAGGCTTAGGCTTAGGCTTAGGCTTAGGCTTAGGCTTAGGCTTAGGCTTAGGCTTAGGCTTAGGCTTAGGCTTAGGCTTAGGCTTAGGCTTAGGCTTAGGCTTAGGCTTAGGCTTAGGCTTAGGCTTAGGCTTAGGCTTAGGCTTAGGCTTAGGCTTAGGCTTAGGCTTAGGCTTAGGCTTAGGCTTAGGCTTAGGCTTAGGCTTAGGCTTAGGCTTAGGCTTAGGCTTAGGCTTAGGCTTAGGCTTAGGCTTAGGCTTAGGCTTAGGCTTAGGCTTAGGCTTAGGCTTAGGCTTAGGCTTAGGCTTAGGCTTAGGCTTAGGCTTAGGCTTAGGCTTAGGCTTAGGCTTAGGCTTAGGCTTAGGCTTAGGCTTAGGCTTAGGCTTAGGCTTAGGCTTAGGCTTAGGCTTAGGCTTAGGCTTAGGCTTAGGCTTAGGCTTAGGCTTAGGCTTAGGCTTAGGCTTAGGCTTAGGCTTAGGCTTAGGCTTAGGCTTAGGCTTAGGCTTAGGCTTAGGCTTAGGCTTAGGCTTAGGCTTAGGCTTAGGCTTAGGCTTAGGCTTAGGCTTAGGCTTAGGCTTAGGCTTAGGCTTAGGCTTAGGCTTAGGCTTAGGCTTAGGCTTAGGCTTAGGCTTAGGCTTAGGCTTAGGCTTAGGCTTAGGCTTAGGCTTAGGCTTAGGCTTAGGCTTAGGCTTAGGCTTAGGCTTAGGCTTAGGCTTAGGCTTAGCTTAGGCTTAGGCTTAGGCTTAGGCTTAGGCTTAGGCTTAGGCTTAGGCTTAGGCTTAGGCTTAGGCTTAGGCTTAGGCTTAGGCTTAGGCTTAGGCTTAGGCTTAGGCTTAGGCTTAGGCTTAGGCTTAGGCTTAGGCTTAGGCTTAGGCTTAGGCTTAGGCTTAGGCTTAGGCTTAGGCTTAGGCTTAGGCTTAGGCTTAGGCTTAGGCTTAGGCTTAGGCTTAGGCTTAGGCTTAGGCTTAGGCTTAGGCTTAGGCTTAGGCTTAGGCTTAGGCTTAGGCTTAGGCTTAGGCTTAGGCTTAGGCTTAGGCTTAGGCTTAGGCTTAGGCTTAGGCTTAGGCTTAGGCTTAGGCTTAGGCTTAGGCTTAGGCTTAGGCTTAGGCTTAGGCTTAGGCTTAGGCTTAGGCTTAGGCTTAGGCTTAGGCTTAGGCTTAGGCTTAGGCTTAGGCTTAGGCTTAGGCTTAGGCTTAGGCTTAGGCTTAGCCTTAGGCTTAGGCTTAGGCTTAGGCTTAGGCTTAGGCTTAGGCTTAGGCTTAGGCTTAGGCTTAGGCTTAGGCTTAGGCTTAGGCTTAGGCTTAGGCTTAGGCTTAGGCTTAGGCTTAGGCTTAGGCTTAGGCTTAGGCTTAGGCTTAGGCTTAGGCTTAGGCTTAGGCTTAGGCTTAGGCTTAGGCTTAGGCTTAGGCTTAGGCTTAGGCTTAGGCTTAGGCTTAGGCTTAGGCTTAGGCTTAGGCTTAGGCTTAGGCTTAGGCTTAGGCTTAGGCTTAGGCTTAGGCTTAGGCTTAGGCTTAGGCTTAGGCTTAGGCTTAGGCTTAGGCTTAGGCTTAGGCTTAGGCTTAGGCTTAGGCTTAGGCTTAGGCTTAGGCTTAGGCTTAGGCTTAGGCTTAGGCTTAGGCTTAGGCTTAGGCTTAGGCTTAGGCTTAGGCTTAGGCTTAGGCTTAGGCTTAGGCTTAGGCTTAGGCTTAGGCTTAGGCTTAGGCTTAGGCTTAGGCTTAGGCTTAGGCTTAGGCTTAGGCTTAGGCTTAGGCTTAGGCTTAGGCTTAGCTTAGGCTTAGGCTTAGGCTTAGGCTTAGGCTTAGGCTTAGGCTTAGGCTTAGGCTTAGGCTTAGGCTTAGGCTTAGGCTTAGGCTTAGGCTTAGGCTTAGGCTTAGGCTTAGGCTTAGGCTTAGGCTTAGGCTTAGGCTTAGGCTTAGGCTTAGGCTTAGGCTTAGGCTTAGGCTTAGGCTTAGGCTTAGGCTTAGGCTTAGGCTTAGGCTTAGGCTTAGGCTTAGGCTTAGGCTTAGGCTTAGGCTTAGGCTTAGGCTTAGGCTTAGGCTTAGGCTTAGGCTTAGGCTTAGGCTTAGGCTTAGGCTTAGGCTTAGGCTTAGGCTTAGGCTTAGGCTTAGGCTTAGGCTTAGGCTTAGGCTTAGGCTTAGGCTTAGGCTTAGGCTTAGGCTTAGGCTTAGGCTTAGGCTTAGGCTTAGGCTTAGGCTTAGGCTTAGGCTTAGGCTTAGGCTTAGGCTTAGGCTTAGCTTAGGCTTAGGCTTAGGCTTAGGCTTAGGCTTAGGCTTAGGCTTAGGCTTAGGCTTAGGCTTAGGCTTAGGCTTAGGCTTAGGCTTAGGCTTAGGCTTAGGCTTAGGCTTAGGCTTAGGCTTAGGCTTAGGCTTAGGCTTAGGCTTAGGCTTAGGCTTAGGCTTAGGCTTAGGCTTAGGCTTAGGCTTAGGCTTAGGCTTAGGCTTAGGCTTAGGCTTAGGCTTAGGCTTAGGCTTAGGCTTAGGCTTAGGCTTAGGCTTAGGCTTAGGCTTAGGCTTAGGCTTAGGCTTAGGCTTAGGCTTAGGCTTAGGCTTAGGCTTAGGCTTAGGCTTAGGCTTAGGCTTAGGCTTAGGCTTAGGCTTAGGCTTAGGCTTAGGCTTAGGCTTAGGCTTAGGCTTAGGCTTAGGCTTAGGCTTAGGCTTAGGCTTAGGCTTAGGCTTAGGCTTAGGCTTAGGCTTAGGCTTAGGCTTAGGCTTAGGCTTAGGCTTAGGCTTAGGCTTAGGCTTAGGCTTAGGCTTAGGCTTAGGCTTAGGCTTAGGCTTAGGCTTAGGCTTAGGCTTAGGCTTAGGCTTAGGCTTAGCTTAGGCTTAGGCTTAGGCTTAGGCTTAGGCTTAGGCTTAGGCTTAGGCTTAGGCTTAGGCTTAGGCTTAGGCTTAGGCTTAGGCTTAGGCTTAGGCTTAGGCTTAGGCTTAGGCTTAGGCTTAGGCTTAGGCTTAGGCTTAGGCTTAGGCTTAGGCTTAGGCTTAGGCTTAGGCTTAGGCTTAGGCTTAGGCTTAGGCTTATAGGCTTAGGCTTAGGCTTAGGCTTAGGCTTAGGCTTAGGCTTAGGCTTAGGCTTAGGCTTAGGCTTAGGCTTAGGCTTAGGCTTAGGCTTAGCTTAGGCTTAGGCTTAGGCTTAGGCTTAGGCTTAGGCTTAGGCTTAGGCTTAGGCTTAGCTTAGGCTTAGGCTTAGGCTTAGGCTTAGGCTTAGGCTTAGGCTTAGGCTTAGGCTTAGGCTTAGGCTTAGGCTTAGGCTTAGGCTTAGGCTTAGGCTTAGGCTTAGGCTTAGGCTTAGGCTTAGGCTTAGGCTTAGGCTTAGGCTTAGGCTTAGGCTTAGGCTTAGGCTTAGGCTTAGGCTTAGGCTTAGGCTTAGGCTTAGGCTTAGGCTTAGGCTTAGGCTTAGGCTTAGGCTTAGGCTTAGGCTTAGGCTTAGGCTTAGGCTTAGGCTTAGGCTTAGGCTTAGGCTTAGGCTTAGGCTTAGGCTTAGGCTTAGGCTTAGGCTTAGGCTTAGGCTTAGGCTTAGGCTTAGGCTTAGGCTTAGGCTTAGGCTTAGGCTTAGGCTTAGGCTTAGGCTTAGGCTTAGGCTTAGGCTTAGGCTTAGGCTTAGGCTTAGGCTTAGGCTTAGGCTTAGGCTTAGGCTTAGGCTTAGGCTTAGGCTTAGGCTTAGGCTTAGGCTTAGGCTTAGGCTTAGGCTTAGGCTTAGGCTTAGGCTTAGGCTTAGGCTTAGGCTTAGCTTAGCTTAGGCTTAGGCTTAGGCTTAGGCTTAGCTTAGGCTTAGGCTTAGGCTTAGGCTTAGGCTTAGCTTAGGCTTAGGCTTAGGCTTAGGCTTAGGCTTAGGCTTAGGCTTAGGCTTAGGCTTAGGTTAGGCTTAGGCTTAGGCTTAGGCTTAGGCTTAGGCTTAGGCTTAGGCTTAGGCTTAGGCTTAGGCTTAGGCTTAGGCTTAGGCTTAGGCTTAGGCTTAGGCTTAGGCTTAGCTTAGGCTTAGGCTTAGGCTTAGGCTTAGGCTTAGGCTTAGGCTTAGGCTTAGGCTTAGGCTTAGGCTTAGGCTTAGGCTTAGGCTTAGGCTTAGGCTTAGCTTAGGCTTAGGCTTAGGCTTAGCTTAGGCTTAGGCTTAGGCTTAGGCTTAGGCTTAGGCTTAGGCTTAGGCTTAGGCTTAGGCTTAGGCTTAGGCTTAGGCTTAGGCTTAGCTTAGGCTTAGGCTTAGGCTTAGGCTTAGGCTTAGGCTTAGGCTTAGGCTTAGGCTTAGGCTTAGGCTTAGGCTTAGGCTTAGGCTTTAGGCTTAGGCTTAGGCTTAGGCTTAGGCTTAGCTTAGGCTTAGGCTTAGGCTTAGGCTTAGGCTTAGGCTTAGGCTTAGGCTTAGGCTTAGCTTAGGCTTAGGCTTAGGCTTAGGCTTAGGCTTAGGCTTAGGCTTTAGGCTTAGGCTTAGGCTTAGGCTTAGGCTTAGGCTTAGGCTTAGGCTTAGGCTTAGGCTTAGGCTTAGGCTTAGGCTTAGGCTTAGGCTTAGGCTTAGGCTTAGGCTTAGCTTAGGCTTAGGCTTAGGCTTAGCTTAGGCTTAGGCTTAGCTTAGGCTTAGCTTAGGCTTTTAGGCTTAGGCTTAGGCTTAGGCTTAGGCTTAGGCTTAGGCTTAGGCTTAGCTTAGGCTTAGGCTTAGGCTTAGGCTTAGGCTTAGGCTTAGGCTTAGCTTAGGCTTAGGCTTAGGCTTAGGCTTAGGCTTAGGCTTAGGCTTAGCTTAGGCTTAGGCTTAGGCTTAGGCTTAGGCTTAGGCTTAGGCTTAGGCTTAGGCTTAGGCTTAGGCTTAGGCTTAGGCTTAGGCTTAGGCTTAGGCTTAGGCTTAGGCTTAGGCTTAGGCTTAGGCTTAGGCTTAGGCTTAGGCTTAGGCTTAGGCTTAGGCTTAGGCTTAGGCTTAGGCTTAGGCTTAGGCTTAGGCTTAGGCTTAGGCTTAGGCTTAGGCTTAGGCTTAGGCTTAGGCTTAGGCTTAGGCTTAGGCTTAGGCTTAGGCTTAGGCTTAGGCTTAGGCTTAGGCTTAGGCTTAGGCTTAGGCTTAGGCTTTAGGCTTAGCTTAGGCTTAGGCTTAGGCTTAGGCTTAGGCTTAGGCTTAGGCTTAGCTTAGGCTTAGGCTTATAGCTTAGGCTTAGGCTTAGGCTTAGGCTTAGGCTTAGGCTTAGCTTAGGCTTAGGCTTAGGCTTAGGCTTAGGCTTAGGCTTAGGCTTAGGCTTAGGCTTAGGCTTAGGCTTAGGCTTAGGCTTAGGCTTAGGCTTAGGCTTAGGCTTAGGCTTAGGCTTAGGCTTAGGCTTAGGCTTAGGCTTAGGCTTAGGCTTAGGCTTAGGCTTAGGCTTAGGCTTAGGCTTAGGCTTAGGCTTAGCTTAGGCTTAGCTTAGGCTTAGGCTTAGGCTTAGGCTTAGGCTTAGGCTTAGGCTTAGGCTTAGGCTTAGGCTTAGGCTTAGCTTAGGCTTAGGCTTAGGCTTAAGGCTTAGGCTTAGGCTTAGGTTAGGCTTAGGCTTAGGCTTAGGCTTAGGCTTAGGCTTAGGCTTAGGCTTAGGCTTAGGCTTAGGCTTAGGCTTAGGCTTAGGCTTAGCTTTAGGCTTAGGCTTAGGCTTAGGCTTAGCTTAGGCTTAGGCTTAGGCTTAGGCTTAGGCTTAGGCTTAGGCTTAGGCTTAGGCTTAGGCTTAGGCTTAGGCTTAGGCTTAGGCTTAGGCTTAGGCTTAGGCTTAGCTTAGCTTAGCTTAGGCTTAGGCTTAGGCTTAGGCTTAGGTTAGGCTTAGGCTTAGGCTTAGCTTAGGCTTAGGCTTAGGCTTAGGTTAGGCTTAGCTTAGGCTGTAGGCTTAGGCTTAGGCTTAGGCTTAGGCTTAGGCTTAGGCTTAGGCTTAGGCTTAGGCTTAGGCTTAGGCTTTAGGCTTAGCTTAGGCTTAGGCTTAGGCTTAGGCTTAGGCTTAGGCTTAGGCTTAGGCTTAGGCTTAGCTTAGGCTTAGGCTTAGGCTTAGGCTTAGGCTTAGGCTTAGGCTTAGCTTAGGCTTAGGCTTAGGTTAGGCTTAGGCTTAGGCTTAGGCTTAGGCTTAGGCTTAGGCTTAGGCCTTAGGCTTAGCTTAGCTTAGGCTTAGGCTTAGGCTTAGGCTTAGGCTTAGGCTTAGGCTAGGCTTAGGCTTAGGCTTAGGCTTAGGCTTAGGCTTAGGCTTAGGCTTAGGCTTAGGCTTAGGCTTAGGCTTAGGCTTAGGCTTAGGCTTAGGCTTAGGCTTAGGCTTAGGCTTAGGCTTAGGCTTAGGCTTAGGCTTAGGCTTAGGCTTAGGCTTAGGCTTAGGCTTAGGCTTAGGCTTAGGCTTAGGCTTAGGCTTAGGCTTAGGCTTAGGCTTAGGCTTAGGCTCAGGCTTAGGCTTAGGGCTTAGGCTTAGGCTTAGGCTTAGGCTTAGGCTTAGGCTTAGGCTTAGGCTTAGGCTTAGGCTTAGGGCTTAGCTTAGCTTAGGCTTAGGCTTAGGCTTAGGCTTTAGGCTAGGCTTAGGCTTAGGCTTAGGTTAGGCTTAGGCTTAGGTTAGGCTTAGGCTTAGGCTTAGCTTAGGCTTAGGCTTAGGCTTAGGCTTAGGCTTAGGCTTAGGCTTAGGCTAGGCTTAGGCTTAGGCTTAGGCTTAGGCTTAGGCTTAGCTTAGGCTTAGGCTTAGGCTTAGGCTTAGGCTTAGGCTTAGGCTTAGGCTTACTTAGGCTTAGGCTTAGGCTTAGGCTTAGGCTTAGCTTAGGCTTAGCTTAGGCTTAGGCTTAGGCTTAGGCTTAGGCTTAGGCTTAGGCTTAGG